GTTATCTCAGACGACGAAACTTTCCAGAATGCGTACAAAATACTTGTAATCCCAATTTGCATAAATATTTATGCTGATGGCCCTTAAATTGCTAGCCCTCACACCATTTGTGTTAATGCGTCTTAATCTTTAATGAGCCAAGTTTCGCGATTCGCGGTTCGGTTTCTCTGGGTTTCCCTGGGTTGGATTTTGGGTCTGGTTTTAGGTTCAGCGGGAGTAAGTACGTGGAGCCAGCCAGCATGAACTCCAAATGGCGGTGGAAGTGGTTTCTGCCATTGTGCACTACTTTGGCCAGATAGAAACGAGATGAGATCTAATTATAAAGATAAACTGTTATGCTTCCTGCCAACGCCAAGCCACCACGCCCGTGTATGTGGCCAGCATTCAAATGGCCCAAAAAATCTCCGTTCCGGCAGATGGAAGATGCCGAGATGCTGGCCAAATAAATTCCAATGTGTTTGGAATCTCTAATCGGACAGAAGAATTCTGTTTATTTTGTATTTTCTAAACTGGCATCACATTTTGCATGCTTTATGCCAAGCCCAATTTACAGAATTATTTTCGGGGTAAGCTGTCAATCAATGAATTCCACTTCCAGTCTTTACTCTATACATATATAGGCTGCCTTGTTTTACAAGCTGGCAGGACTTGGCTCCCTTCGTAAATTTAAAAATTCAATATTGATATTTTCTGTGCATTGCAATATAAGGAATTTATGACTGGCTTTGAAATGCAAACTGCTAGCTTTTGCAACATGAAGCTGGACTTTAAGGTTTGCCCATAAATAAAGCAAATTCAAACATATTTTAGGAATTTTAAATTAAACCTAAATTTCTTCTGGAAAAAGGAATACCATCGTGTGACTTTTTGACTTGATTTTTCATAAGCTTCTTTCACTATTTAACTCTCTCTTAATTCCTTACATAAAATTTCTTTGTTTAAAATCAACCTGCTACTTGCCTGAAGCTTTTCTCTGCTAATTCCTTTTCGCTGAAATTAAATTAAAGTATAATTAAATGGTCCAGAATGTCCAGTTAAATCCACACCCACGAAGTGCCCCTCTGGTATCTACGGTTCAACTGCTGACAGCGAAATCCACACGAAAGATAACAAAGCAACTCGAACTCGAACCAAAAACCAACTCCCTCTTACCCGAGGTCCTTGCTACTTATTTTAATTGCTCAACATTTTTCACCAACTTTTTTTTCTACCCTCAGAGACTGGCACGCACACTCGGGTGAGTGTGCGAATAATATCGAATGCTTTTAGGGGCATTTGCAGCTCGCCGCTTAATCGACTGATTTAGAAGTTTATTGCATTCCGGCATCTTTCTGGGGAAATGGAGCCGGCCACGAAGGTATTTAAGCGCACTGCGTGCTCCGTGATGGGAACTCCACCTCCACTCCGTTTGCCTCTTGTCCGGAGTCTCCAGTCGCCGGTCGCCGGCAATATAAATGGACTTCCGTGCATAAAGCGGATAATGCCGGGACGAATGCCAGACAAAGCGGCACTTCAAATTGTGCTTGAATTTATTGTCCTGCATTTAAATGGCCGGCAATTGCGAACGCCTTGCTGCGACTCAATTCCGACATAAATGCACTTGGGAAAAGTGTGACGGGTTTTTAAAAAAATACAAGAAATGGGCGTGTTCATTCTAATTGTGGTTTCTAATTGAAATGTAGTTCAAAGGAGCACGCCAATGGATGCCACATTCTAATTGAAAGAACATTTTCCAGTTTTAAATTGTTGTTAAACACGAAACTCGGATAAAAATCATGGCAAATAACATAATTAGATTATTCATATTAATTCAAGCAGATGAAACAAATGCTTAAGCCAAAAAGAAAATAATGATACTAATAAATACAGTATGTAGTAGATTAAATAGTACCAAACTATTTGCTATTTTTTATATTTTTTGAGGTTTAAAAACACGCATAATCTACTATAATTATAATAAATTTATGGCACTATCAATTTAAAATGTAAAAATATTAATGATAGTAATCAATTAAGTAATAAAATTCTAAATTTATTCATAATAGTTATGCATTCAACATTACTTTGCGCAATTTGTAATTTTTCAATGAAAAAACTCAAAGGGAAAATATTAAAGAAGAAACTATTACCCGGGTCAAATACTTACCAATTTAAATTTTGAAGAAAATGAGAATGACATCTTTTCATGTCCCTTGTCCTAGATGTCCCTTTCTGCGCTTCATTAAATAACATTATCAATTTGGTTTTGGTTTTTCTTTTCAATTTAAATAAAACAACAAATAATATTTGTGTATTATTTCCAGTTTCTCCCAGTGCATCCAAGTAATCTCCACGCAAAACGCTCACCACAAATGTGCGGCAACTGGTAGCTGACGATGGCAAGGCTGCTGTTGAATGCTGTTGTCCTTGACCATCGCATGAATAATTGCACAGGAGCCGGGGATTGGCCGTTGTCCTTGCGACAATGCGTATAATTAAGCAAAACCGCAAAAATCGCACAATTTATGCAGAAGGCGCAGCATATTAATGGCTGCTTATTGAGACGACAACAACATGGAATGTAACGAAATTTGCATTAAAACTGATTTATGCATTTGTCGTTGCGGTCGTTATTGCCGCTGTTCTCTGATGTTCTGTGCTGTTCTGTGCTGTTCTGTGCTGTTCTGACTGTGCTTTCGTCCTGCTGGCCTGATGCTGCCACACAGCACATGAGAAATTTGCATAAATTTTCCGCAGCCAAATGGCACTTTTATTATGTACTTCGTTCGGTGGGGGCAACAAAGCGGTGTCGTAAAGCTTGAAGGGAGTTGTGAATACCGAGAAAACGGTTGATTTTAACAACACAGCTGTTTTAAAACATAATTTGATCATCTTGGCAAGTAATTACTCAACGAAGAACTGCAATTAACGTTTTTGATTAACCTTAAAATGTAAATAAGATAAGGGACCTACAAGAAAGCCGTACTTTAAAATTCTTATAAGAGTATATTTTATTATTTATAAAAGGGATGCAGATTAAATTAGTTAAAAGCTGTAAGATATATAATAATATTGTAATATACTAACTTATTAAAATATATAATGTAACTTATTAATTCTTTAGAGTACTTTTTCGTGGTAGAACTAACCTTAACTTCTTTAAATCCATTCTGAACTTCTTTGTAACCTTAACTTCTTTAAAAATCGTTAAAAAATATATTTTATTTTTTAATAAAGCGTAATCGAAACGATTCTTAGTTGATTAATTTAAGAAAATATTTAAGGTAACTTAACAATGGCTTAGAGTAATTACAAAAAAAAAACTACATTTATCTTTTAAAAACTCCAATATAAAAATCTTATAATAGAATATATAAATATTTATAAAAGCGAATGAGATTAGATAAATCAAAATTTTTACGCTCTAGATCATTTTTCGTAGATTACTAAAATTATTAAAATATTTATAATAGCTTAAGAATATTCTAGAACAATTTTAAAGATGAGAGCTAATCCTAACTTTTATAACAAAATAGTAAATAGTTTAATAGTAAATATGTGCTTTTATTTATAAAATCGAAATAGAGTAAATCATTAAAATTATCTGAGCTATAAATTATTATTCTTAGATAAATAATTACGTAGCTAAACAATATTCTGAGTAATATTTAAAGTAATATATTACCATAATTTCTATTTTAAAAAACAAAGCCAGTATACAAAAGCAAAACTATATTTAAAAGCTGTCGAAAGCTAATTAATTAAATGAATTTTAATCATTTCTAATTAATAATCATAAAATGAATAATAATAATAATTACCTAATAAAATAGGTAATAAAGAGTTTTATTATTTTGCTTATAAATTAATCATAAATTTCAAATTTTTTGTTGTTGACAGGAGACTTGAATAATAATTGTAATTTATGTCCAAACAATTAATTCGCCGCTGACGTAATTTCATTGCCGTCTGACCCACACATACACACACACCTTGCCCGAGCTATTTAGCCACAATTATTTCCATAAAGGTAATGACACCGCAATCGTTATGCAACCCAAGAGCTCGCTATTAAATTCAATTTCCGCGCCAACATTCAACTTTAATGTGAGCTCTCATGCACATTAACTGCTATATTGAACAACGAATGCTTATCGCTTATCGGACGGTGAAATTAAATTCTTTTCCATAATTATTATTTATTATAATTTCCGCAGCCACTCCACTCACGTGAGCCAAAGCACATTGATGCCGTGTGGAGAAGCTGCGGGACTCATTCAATTTTTAATGTCTCCGAAATGTAATTAACTCTGGAGCTGAACAGCAGCTGCCCCGGAGCAGATTGCTGGAAAAGAGCTGCCAAGTTGCCTTAAACACTGTTTAGGAGGACATTGAAAGCTCGTTGGCTGGCATCAATATTGCATGGACACTGCCATCGATGTGGGGCACTACTGATGGCACTGTAACCTTGAGTCTTGACCGGAGTAGCACACGGGGCGTATGATTGTTTTCCCGTGTCAACAAAACGTGTCTCTACACTAGCTTTCCTTTCGCCTTTCACTTTTCCTGCTCCTGCTATTTCCCCCTCTATTTTCCTCTCGTGTAACCTGTTAATGGCTTTAATGCGCTTACACGACATCAGCCCTGTTGTGAGCTCGCATTATGAGTCTTTTGCTGAAATGCCAGTTCTCCGAGCGCCTGGCGCACGGCAGCTTCATTAGCTTTAAGGCCCATTAAAGCATTCATCTGGGTAATGGAGTACCTTCAGCTCATAAAGCATTCATTGGCCAAACAAAAACGGGTCCGAAAAAGAAGTGGAACGCGAAAACGTGAAGCGAAAGCCAAGAAAAACTTCTAAAGGCCCCAAAGAAAAAGCAGATGCAAATTGCAAATTCGAAATTTAATTTCGTTTGCAAACAAAGAAACCCATTGTATTTGCAGTAAACATGAAATCGTGGGTAATTCTGAGCATTACATAAGCTGATTAGTTACTCAGAAAATATATATAGAAACCCAGAGAATTTTAAACCTATACAAAGCTGATTACTTTATTTATCAGACGGGACATACTGCATACAATCACTGAGAATTTCAAACATTACAAACAAAGTGGATCAGTCATCAGTATCACCTTCGTAGCGATAATAAGGACCTGTCTTCTTCGGCTCCGGCAGATAGCCAAAGTGAGTCCGCAGGAACTCGAGGCTCAAGAACAGCAGAATGGTGTGCGGCATAAGTCGGGCAAAGGAGGGAATTACGCCCTTGTAGAAGGCGAAGGGACCCTCCTTTAAGGTCTGGAAAAACACATCCGATAATCCTGAGTACTGGCCAGGCGGTGCGTTCATGCGACGCGTCTTTAACACATCCAGAGGCTGTGTCAATGCCGTGGCCGCCGTGGCCGATACTACAGAGGCGGTCATGTATGTGCCCAAATTCTCCGGCATGCCCAGGCTCAACAGGACGTCTTTGCTCTGTTCGTAGAAGGCGATCTGGCCCACAGTCATCCACATGCCGCGCAAGGCGGTCATTGAGGAGCCATTGTATAGGCTGCGAAAGCCCTCCTCACGAGTGATTCGGAATAGCCCGTCGATGGCGTGCTTATAGCTGTCATAAAATATACAATATAATCATTAATATCCGCTTATTAAAGCTCAATAGTTAAATATATACTTGCGCCTCTGATCCTGGGGTAATTTAACGTCGTTCTGGAGGCGAACATTGACCAGATCTGCTGGTGCACCCACATACCCACCGAGTCCACCGGCCACCGCGGCCAGAGCAGTCTTCCGTGGCATAGTGCTGGTATCCACCATGTCGGAGCCCACCTGGTAGATTCCAAAGCGAGACAACGTGTAGGTGTACTGCCGCAACATGGAGGCGGAAATACCGTTGTACATAGCCAGGATGCCCTGCTCCTTGATAATCTTCTTCGCGGTCGCAAACATCGACAACTTCTCCGCTTGTGTTTGGATGAGCACCTTCATCAGATCCAGTGGATGAGTGATCATGGCGGCCATCGAGCTGGCCACACCGCCAAAGTACCACCGCGCAATGCGGCGCTGATTGTAGGACATGAATATTGGCCTCTTAAGTGACATTTTTACAGACTTAAAAGCTGCGTTTTCACTTAAAAATTTGGTAAATAAATTAGTGAATGCGCTATAATTGATAACAGCTTTGGTATGAAAAACTGAAAAACAAGTCAGGAATCAGTCTAGAAATTAATTGCATGGATAGCGCGATACATTTTGAATTTTGAAAATAAATAAGTAATTTAAGGTTCAATATTATATATAGTAGAAGTTTGGTCTACCCTCGGACAGATCCTGTAAAAGCCAGTCCTTTAAATGTAGTTGTAGCTTAATTATTATTTTAAATACTTACACCCATACAGTACAGCACGGGGATGCCTATGAAGGCTCCACCGACAATTAGAAAGTCAAGTACCCTTTGTTTCAATAGCTCATTTGCAGTTCGAAAGTACAAATACACAGGAATGGCGGCCACAATCAGAAATACATTAAACAACAGCACAAGGAATATAGCTCTTGATGTGCTTTTAGAGGATTTATCTTCGTCAGAGGAGCTCTCGTCATCTTCAAGAAATTATGCATAAGGATGAGGTAGTTCCTCTTGGTATTTGTACTCACCTGGGGGAATCTCTATAGCGGTTCCTGGCTGCATTTCAATGAATTGATCACCTTGGCCCACCTTGAAATCCACCTTCATTTTCTGTTGCATTTCTAGAGTTATTTTCGGCTTGTAATTATTTGTGACGGGTAATTCTGTACTCTCTTTGTTATTTTTATATGGTCAACAATCAAGAATACTTTAAACATTAATAAGAAAACCAGATATGAGAGCTAAATATTATCATCTTAGTAAATAAGCTTTACTGCTCGAATTTATTGACAAATGAAATCAAATGTTGCTAAAACCATGTTGGAGAACATCCAAATGAAGACTAATGTTGCTAGCAACACTCATTGATGTTGCCAACACAAAAGAAAAAGTTTGAGAGAGTTGAACTTTATTGTTTAATTTCCAATTTACGTATAAAAATAGTTAATTAAGACTAGCTTGTATTATTTCTATAAATTTATTTTTTTTTCGTAATTTAAACCCAAAACTAAGTTTAATTTCAAAACTATTCCTAGACCTTTAAAATATTTCAAGAAAGCAATGGCTTCTCAGAACAGCAAAGGTAAAATCAGTGCATACCCGAGAGCGTTTTCTTGTCACATTATTTACACCTGATTAGCCAAAAACTGCCGCTTACTTCCGCCCTAGACGGAGCCCAACACAAAGGGAAACAAAACGAGCTTGGCACGCAACAAAAGCCTCAGAGAAACGCCTCAATCACGCACCTTTGATTATGCTAATGGATCCGTAGCTCTGTTGTTTCATAAATATTTTGACAGCTCAGGCACCGGAAACGGGCGCTTGAAATTGTCCACAAGTGCCTGTATTTTAAATGGTCATTTGGTTTTGACAGCTGGCAGCCGGCAGCCAGCAGCCGGCCGCTCTTTAAACAGAATCCAGCAGGGGGCAGACACCGAATGGCCATTAAATAAATAAACCTGGGAGGGAAAGTTATTATTTGGCTGATACAGAAACACATAAAATCCATTGGCATGTCATGAAAGTTGAGCTAACGATGGAGGTATTTATTGCAAAGCCAAGTTCGATATATATTTTTGCGAAATGCAATTTCGTGAGTTATTGCTACAAAATCAAAATACATTTTGCTCTAAAAATAAAACGCATTTCGAGCTCGCTGTCATATTGGCCATATGGGCAAAGTCGGTACGGGAGGGGGCTTAAAACGGCTAAATAATTTGGTTTCGGTTCGATGAGCAGGCAAATTGAATGACATTTTGTGCTATTTTCTGTTTATGCGTGCAGTTTAGGCCAGAATTCGAACAAAGTTGGCAACGAAATCACCGCTGATGGATTGGATTTTAATCCCAGCGCAGATGACAACTATATTTATTTACAGATATTTCAGCCAAATTGTCGCATTGCGTTGCATTTGTTTATTTTTCATGTAATTCTATTTTGCGGTTTGCTTAACGGAAATGCAAGCCCACGTTTATTATTTTACCATAATTGGTTTAAGCTGGGAAAGGCCAAAAATGGAATTATCGACTTGGAGCCTGCTGCTCCTGCTTCCCCTTCCCAAATGAAAGTTTGTTAAGACACAACTTTTAAATGCTCGAAATCTTCATAAACTTTATTTTATTGTGGCCAAAACTACTCGAAGGGAGTTCAGCTTCAGTTTAGAAGTTGGCTAGTTAGTTGGCCAGTTCATTTGCTGCTGCAGCACTGGTCCTTGGGTCCATTCTTGCAGACGCAGTGGCAGTCCTTGTTGCAGGCGCAATTGTCTCCGCACTTCTGGCCCGAGCACTGGCAGTCTGTGAACGGAGAATGGAGAACGCTTGTCAATTACTTGACTTGCTGCTGCTGTTTGGTATCACTTACTAGTTCCACAACCCTTGCAAACCATTGCGATTGGTATATATCTCTCTGTGACTTGTGTGACTTCGTTAGGACTTGCTAGCTTGTTTAGCTATTCAACTGTTGACCCATGGCAGTGGATACCCCTCCATTTATACCAATTTGGATGGCCTCGGGCGAGTGCAAAATTGCACAAATCGAAAACAAATTTGTTTGGCTTGACCCGACTTATCGCGTCGTGTGCAAGCCTCGAGCGAGAGCTTCGCAATTTATCAGGCACCGGGCCTACGATATTTTTTTTTTGCGCACGCAATCTCGCTTGCCCGACTCGCTGCACACGCCGCGTATACGTAATGGCTTTATCAGCTGCGTTGCGTATACGCCGCGTTGGCGTGGCATGACTCACGGCCATCCCAGAAGCACACAAGCAACAGTAACAAAAAGCGTATGTTATTCTTTGTTACCTTTCTTGTAACTATATCTAAGCAATTTTAATGGCCTTAACCTGTTTCCAAAAAAAAAATCACGTTACAAAAAAATATCATAAAATTATGTTTGGTCCTTGTTCTAAGGAAAAAGGCTTCCAAATCAGTTTGTGAACATGATTTATATTTATAATTATACAATTAAAAATTAAGCGTTGAATTTAAAAATGATAAAAATTAAAGGAAAAGGTTAACCAACTGGCACTCATACAGTTGGATTATTTTACTGGAAAGTTTGCAGAATTTAATGTTTGAGATTTAAATATTTTTTTTAGCTGTAGAAATTTTAAACAGAAAATAAGAGAAAAGTATAACAAAATAAAATCAATAAAATTTATCACAAGTTTTTGAATATTTAAATGTAAAACATAACTGAAGAAATTTTTGGAGATCTTACACCCAAACAAAAAAATTATTTTGCATTAATTTACAAAGAATCGTTTAAATAATAACTAATTCCTGAAGTTTTATTTATTCCATTGGAGCAGCAGAAAGAAATAAACTTAAATAAAATCCCAACAATCCGTAGCATATTTTCCGGCTTTACCTACAAGTCCCTCAGCCTACGAACCAATCATATTTTCCAATAAAGATTATGGCATACTTTTCGGATCAAATTAAATACAAATCCAAATAAATACTTGTCGTCGAGTTTGTGCACTTGTCTCGTACGGTCGTGTAAGCTCCTAATTAGCAACCAGAGAGTGATCCTCAACTTCTTCTGTTGTGCTTATCTGCGCGTAATCTATTTTTAGACTCCGTACCGCCGGGGTCTTTACCGAGTCCGACTTGTTTACCACCCGAGCATAGTGTAAGCGTTGTTTACGACTTCGCCCATTGGGCTCGGTCTTGTCTCTCGCTTGCGCCTTCACTGCCCAGCGGGAGATAAGAAGTAAAGACTTTTGAACATTTTGAATTTGATTTCTATAATTTTCGTAATCGAAAACTATAGTTAATTAATAAATGGATGGGAACTCACCTTCTTATCCGCCGCTCCCGAAAGAGCTGCCCGGATTTGAGAAGATGAAGGAAATCGCTGGCCAATCTTCAGCGGAACTTCGAGCCAAGCTTGCAAAAGACTTGGCTCAACGGCAATTGGACACCCTTCGTCAACGAAATGCAGATGCTGTTAAGACTAGCTCAGCTACACCTGTAACAAACACCGTTACAGCTACGAGTGCCAGTTCTGGCACCACCACTTACACTGTTGCAGCTTCCTCATATACCAGCCCAGTTTCTACAGCAGGAACGTCTCTATCTTTGGGAACTAACAATCTCCCGATCCCGCCCGCTACGGGGTGCTCGTTCCAAGCACCAAGTACTACTCGTAGCAGGAAACGTAACCCTCCAAGCAGCGGTAAAGAAAGAGACGACATAAAGAAGACTAAGGCAAATGTAAACAATGCCAAAATTGGCAATTTAAATCAAGCTTCGACCTCCAATGGACTTCGCAACAACCGCTTCGCACCTTTTGTTGAGGAAACGAACCCAATTGAGGAGATGGAGACAAATGAGGAGATGACTGATCCACCGCCAAGCCAAGCACAAATTTCAAGCCAAAAACCTCCACCCATTTGTGTTCCAAAGGTCACTGACATCCTCACTCTGGAACGAACCCTTGACGAAATTATCGATGCAAATAGTTATGAGATTCGTACATCCAAATTCGGAGTTTCTCGAATATACACCGACAATGCAGAGTCATTCCGCAAGGTGGTTCGTAGCCTGACTGCCTTAAATTGCGAGTTTTGGCATCATCAACTCCGAGAGGACAAACCATTTAAGCTGGTGCTAAGGAACATACATTCCACAGTTCCAAAAGAGGAAATAGAACGTTGCTTCACGGACAAAGGTTTCAACGTAGTCAATATTTACTGTCCAAGAAAGCCTGGCACGCGCGGCACTACGGCTGACGTTAATGTTGATGATAGACAAAATCTGTTCTATGTCAATCTCAAGATGACTACGAATGTCGCCGAGTCGCTTAAAATTAAGCAAATTGGTAGGCACAGAGTTACTGTGGAAAAGGCTACTCGAAATAGGGACCTCGTCCAATGTTATAAATGCCAAAATTTTGGACATACTCAAAATTGTTGCTTCATAAAGCCTGTGTGTGGGAATTGTGCCGGAGATCATCCTACTAACTCGAAATCGTGCGAGTCAATTCTTAACAACCAATGTATGTGTGCAAACTGCGGAGAAAATCACCCTGCAGGTTTTAAAGGCTGCAAAGTCAGGTTGGAACTAAGCAGGAAACTAAAATCTGGAATAAGGCTAAGCAACTCAACGAACAGCAGGACCAACGAAAGCCGACACGGTCAACAATTCTCCATGTCAGCTACCAGAGATGGCGTCTCTTATGCAGACATGGCAAGGAGTAACCTTCCAAACAGTACCAGCGCTGCAGCTACGCAGTCTGCCGCACATATACCTGGAGGCAACCCCAATAGGAATTTGTCTACTTTGGAGAAGGCAATCTTCGATATTAACACTAGGCTGGATCAACTCTTCAAACTAGTTATGGAAACGATTGAGTCGAACAAGGCTTTTCGCGATATAGTTCAGGTTCTAATTTCTAGAAAATGACAGTCTCAACAATAAAAATCGGATTATGGAATGCAAGAGGTATAGTTCAAAATAGTGAAGAACTTCGTCTTTTCCTTATTGATAACTCTATAGACATAATGCTTATTACCGAGTCACACATGCGTCCCGGCCTTAATTTTTACCTTCCTGGTTATGACCAATACTTTGCCAATCACCCTAGCAACACCGCTAAAGGTGGCTCTGCTATCTTCATCAAGACCAGCATTATCCACACGCAGAGGGAGCCCACAACGCGAATAGACTTACAGCTAGCTTGCATTGATATTTTAACAAATGGTGGTGTACTTAGAATAGCTTCCTTGTATCTTCCTCCCAGCGAGCCTTGGACAAGAAACGATTTCGACCAGCTACTAGTCTCTCTAGGCCCAAAATTTTTGGCTGGAGGTGACTTTAATGCCAAGCATCAATGGTGGGGAAATTTAAGGTCCTGTTGCCGGGGAAAGCGTCTTCAAGAGGCCATAGTTTCAAGCTCAAGCCAAGTTTTAGCTACTGGGGAACCTACCTTTTACTCCTCAAATACCAGGCTCACACCGACAGCTCTGGACTTCTTCATCGTAAATGGGGTTCCACTCAACAAACTTTCGATCGAAACCAAATACGAGCTATCCTCGGACCATTTGGCAATTGTCGCAACACTAAGTCAAATACCGCAATGCAAGGCCAAAAGGAAATCAATACTACCGCCCGGCTCCTCTGTTGAAAAGTTTAAGGAATCCCTGGACAGAAGCATTAACCTCAACGCTGTCATCAACCATCCAGATGATCTTGAAGCTGAGGTAGCAGCCTTCATGGAAAATATATACACTGCTGCGACAGCTGCTAGCCCGAATCAAAGACACCTTCCGAACCAAAATAGAAGCAATATACTCCCACAAAATGCTCTAGTTCTCATACAGCTTAAAAGAAGAGTCCGTCGAGAATACACAAGGACAGGAGATATTCGCGTCTACAAGATTTATAAAAGACTGTCAAATCGGCTAAGCAAAGTCTTGAAAAAGAACAAGCAAGACCATATAGACCAGATGTTAGAGAATGCGAGCCCAGATGCATCGACAAACTACTCCTTGTGGAAACTCACAAGCCAATTCAAGAGACAAGTTATCCCAAAGGCTCCTCTCAGAAATCCCGCTGGTGGTTGGTGTGGGTCAAGTCAGCAGAAGGCGGATATTTTTGCTGATAATCTAGAGAACAGATTTAAGCCGCTAGACCTAACTCCGATGGAAAATCGAATGTTTGTGGAAAGGCAACTGGACAGACCTTTTCAAATGGCTCTTCCCTGTAAGCCAGTAACCCTGGAAGAAGTCAAGTCACAGATCGGAAAGCTCAAAAATAAAAAAGCGCCAGGAGAGGACCTTCTAGACAACAAAACGCTGAAACTTCTGCCTATCAAGGCACTGCTATTTATAGTCCTGTTGTTTAACAGTGTCCTAAGGCTGAGTCATTACCCAAGTGCATGGAAGAATGCTATCATCACTATGATACCCAAGCCTGGAAAGCAACCCACAGAAGTTGATGCATACAGGCCAATTAGTCTCCCTACCTGCATTGGGCAAAATGATGGAAAGGGTTATACTGGACCGGATCCTTGGACAAGAGACAGTAAGCAGAGCTATTCCGAAATGGCAGTTCGGATTTCGGAAAAGTCATGGCACACCTGAACAGCTACATCGAGTAGTCAATTTCGCTTTAGAAGCCATGGAAAACAGAATGTATTCAGTCGCTGTTTTCATGGACATTCAACAAGCTTTTGATAGGGTATGGCACGACGGTCTCCTAAGCAAGTTGAAGAATCTAATAACTCCTCAGCTCTTTCTCCTCATTCAGAGCTTTTTATCTGAAAGAAAATTCAGTGTGGTTGTCGATGGAGAAAAGTCGTCAAAGCGCCCAATCTCAGCCGGTGTTCCCCAAGGCAGTGTACTAGGTCCGACACTATACTCGCTGTATACATCAGATATGCCAGATTCCTGGGGCTGTACCGAAGTCGACGATGATAATATGCTCATCGCAACTTACGCCGACGACACTGCAGTTATGGTCAGAAGTCCAAGCATAGATATCGC